TGGCGTCTGAAAGGCTAGTACTTCAGAGTGCTCGTTTTTCCTGGCTCGCCTTCGCGCATCGGACACGGTGGGCCTCACCCGAGGAGGGGTCGCCATGGGACGCCCAACGCTGGTGAGGCCGCGGATGCGTGCAAAAGCGTTTCCGTGGCTCTGCCAATATGTGACGGAACACCATGGTGTTTTAGTTGGTGCGAGCCCGACATACCCGACAGGTATGCGTAGGCATTTCCTCATGTAAAAAGGGAGACTGCTATGGATACGAATGAAAGTGGGCTTAAAGAAGTTGTTTGTGTTAGGGGTCTACGCCCCAGACATGTCTAAGTCCACTTATATCCGAGAGCAGTTTTGGGAAATGGTAAGGATGGTGTTAATGAAGTGTAAGGGAAATGAAAATATTATTATGATAGGAGATTTTAATGGAAGGGTTGGGGTGAGGAGGCTTGGTTATGAAAGGATATTGGGAACGTTTGGTGATGAAAGTATAAATGAGAATGGTGAAAGTCTCCTCACCGTATGTATGGAAAAGAATCTTTTTGTGACGAACACTTGCTTTCGCCACAAGAAGATTCACATGTATACTTGGGAAAGAGGTGACGATAGAAGCATGACAGATTTCATAATTGTGGATGAAAGATTGAGGGGCGCAGTGGTAGATACAAGGGTTTACCGGGGTTCTAACGTAGGAACGGATCATTATTTGGTTTTATGCCGAATTAATGGTCTATTCAGGCGTTGGCGCCATCGGTCACCTGTGTCTACCACTGCGTTACAGCGTATTAGAACAGAAAGATTACAAGATGAAGGTGAGAAAAACAAGTTCAAATGTAGACTGAAAGAAAATATAAGTGGTTTGGATTAATTATGTATGAAGGAGTTAGACTTGGAGAATGTATGGCAAAATGTAAAGAAAGGTTTAGTGGATCCAGCTACCGAAGTATGTGGTGTTAGTAAGAGAAAGAATGAAAGGAAAAATAATACGTTATGGTGGATGATGAGATACGTATGGAAGTTGAAGCAAAGAAGAGAGCATGGCTAGATTTACTAGCAACAAAGGCTGGTAATTCTAGCGGTACGAATGACGATATTGAAAGAAAAAAGGCAGTCTTTAGACATCTTAATAAGAGAGTAAAAGAAGTAGTTGAAAGAAAAAAGCAAGAAAGAACGGATAAGAATGATAGAAGAATATCGGATAATTTCCAGGCAAATATTAAAATGTTCTGGAAACTTGTAAGAACTGCCAGGGGACATTCAAAACAGCCTATGATGAATGCTATAAGAGACGAGAATGGCTATATTCTGAATGATGAAGTTTTGAGTTTAAAGAAATGGAAGAAATATTTTGTAGAATTATTTGTGAGGAGACAACGAGTGTACTAAGTGAAGTAGAAACTCCGAAAGAAGAGGAAAGAGGTAGCGAGATAAGTATAGATGAAATAATGAAAGCAATGAAAAGCATGAAAGCAGGTAAGGCTGCCGGATATGATAGAGTTTCACTCGAAATGCTAAGGGCTGGAGAGGAAGTGGTGGCAGGCCTGCTGCATACCTTGTTTAATTTATGCTGGGAACTGAAGCGGGTACCGGTAGACTTGTGCAAAGCCGTGATAGTCCCAGTATATAAAGGAAAAGGGTCGCAGCAGGACTGTAAAAACTACCGTGGTATCAGCCTTCTTAGCATTGTGGGAAAACTGTATGCTAAAGTACTGATTGAAAGGGTCATGAAAGAAATTTATGGAAAAATTTGGGATGTGCAAGCGGGATTTAGAAAGGGAATGGGATGTACAGATCAAGTCTTTTCCATGCGCATGATCGCGGAGAAGTTTTTGGCCAAAAACCAAAAGGTTTTTTGTGCGTTCATGGACTTGGAAAAGGCCTATGACAGAGTTGATAGGGATGTGCTATGGCAAACACTGGAATCATTTGGGTTGAGCGCAGGCTTGATACAGGCATTGTAGTCTCTTTATTGGGATCTCTTTTTAGTGCTTGTGTTAGGATCAACGGGGTCTATTCGGACTTGTTTGACATCCATAAAGGTGTCAGACAGGGCTGTGTGGCTTCCCCGTGGCTGTTCAACATATTTATGGACAGTTGTTTGCAAAATTTGAAAGTTGAAGAATGCGGACTAAGAATGGGTGAGTTAACCGTCAAATGCCTTTTATACACCGATGATCAAGTTATCCTTGCGTCGTCGGCGGCCGAGTTGCAAACGATGGTCACATAATTAACAGATCATTAAAAGAAAGGTGTATGAAAGTGAACGCAAGTAAGACGAAGGTTATGGTTTTTGAAAGAGAAGAAAGTAAAACGATTTGTGAAATAAGAATAGAAGGGGGAGTTGATCGAGCAAGTAGACGAGTTTGTATATTTGTGCTGCGTATTTAGCAGGGATGGGAGATATGATAAGGATATAGAACGACGAGTGAATGCGGGAAATAGAGTAAATGGGGCCCTACACTATATTGTGAAGAGTCAAAATGTGTCGAAAAAGGCACGCATCGTTAAGGAGTATGTTAGGGCTGATTCTGAATGACAGGGTAAGAAATTTTGTAATAAGAGAAGAGTGTGGTTTGCAAGATGATGTTGTGACCAGGATTAAGAAAGGAATGCTTCGGTGGTTTGGTCATGTGGAAAGAATGAATGAGGAAAGAGTGACAAAGAAAATTTATGGTGCAGAAGTGAATGGCAGAGTCGGAAAGGGACGTCCTAGGCGAAAATTTATCGACCAAATTGGCGATTTAACCGACGAGCATGTATGCGTAGGTGTATGGATGTGAAGGAGGCGAGAGAGGTGTGTCAGGATCGTGCCAAATGGAAGTCTGTAGTCTCTGCCTACCCCAGTGGGTGACAGGCGTGAGTGTTTATGTATGTGTATGTATGTATAAAAAGGGAGAATATTTTCCATAGTTTGACCTGTTGCTAGGTAACCGAAGATTTTTTAGCCTTTAGTTGTTACTAGGCATACGCCGCCCAGCTCCTTGTTCATTATCCCCTTTTCGCCTCCTCACGTCATCCACGGGGCGATACGGGATATTTTTACACGGTAATTACACATAAATTCGAACTAAAATTTCGTTGACTCATCCATCACAAACTGTAAAAGTCCCAAAAATACAAAGCTGAACATAGACCTTCCCTAGAGTTCTTTTTTACCTGGGAAGACGAAGGGGAACACAAGGCTCGCCTTCTTAGGCCTCCACCTCCACCTGCGCAATGACCCCGAGTTCAAAGTGCGGAGGCCATGGGCCCAGGAAAAGGCGAAAACACTCGGGAGTACCAGCTTTCCCGAATCCATCGGTGGATCTGGTCTATGGCTCCGGTGTCAACCAATTTTCGGCCACGTAGGGTAGGGAGTGCGGCGTCTCGCTATACCGACATTTCCTTCTCTTGCATGCGGGTAGACGGGTTGGCAACAGATTTTTTTTATAATTATGAGTTGTTACCCGAAATATACTGTTGCCTATCTCCTGATTCAGTTTTCCTTTGTCGCCTTTTGCGACTTCCACATGATAATATGGGTATAGTCTAACTATTACTAACAGTTGGTCATCGAAGGCATCTAGACGGGGCAATCGTGTGGTGCGGTGCGGGGCGAGACGATTGCTGAGTGCTCCCGAGCGGCCGTTGGTCGATCGAGAACTGCCCGCTAGGGTTGTCTTGTCACATAAATAAATAAAAATGGTTTACACTACGTATGGGGTAAAAAACTATGAGTTGTCCTCATAAAAAAAAGGATTTGATAACCTTAAATCCTTTTTTAACCTTTTTTAAACCTATTTTATTATTTCTAAACATACATTTTCTGATTAAGTTATAGAATTAGTTTGAACGTGAAATAAAATAAAATGGTTTTTTTAATTTTTTTATTACTTTCCGTTCTGGAACTCTAGTATTTATTGCTTATCTCGGCTTTTCCGACAATATCAAATGCGATGAGTGACTGTATGTTCTTGTTAGGCTGTGATATGGAGTGGTAGATGATCTTTAACTGCCACTACACGGTTGTTGAGATTTATTTTATAGGTATATTTTATTACACATTTGGTTTGTCAGGCCTACAATGAATATTAATATGCGATATTTATCTGTATTGTTGGGCTTGTAAAGTCGATAGAGCTTTAAATAATACACATTTATACACATAGATAGATATAGTACACATAGCCGATTTTAGGCTTTTTATATAGATATGCGTTTTGCGTAAGTTCTATTTACAGCTCTAGAAACGCCGAAAATAATTTATTGATCTACTGCAGGCAACAGATTAAGTTAAAAATATATATTGTTTACTTTAGCACGATCCGGAGCCGATCCGTCACTAAAGTAAAGTACAGTAATAGCCCATATACCTCCCACTGCTGGGCAAGGCCTTTCAATTCTGAGAGGATTTCGGGGCAAGGAATTGTCCGACGCGCTGCCCAAAAGCGTGTTAGTAAAGCTCTCTTGTCTTTGGAATTTTTTTTATTTCTCAGACATGCAGCTTTTCTCGTTGTTTTCCTGCACCGCCGAGCACGTGGAATATCAGCACAAATTGCAGTTAACAAATTCATCGGTGCCGGCGGGTATCGAACTGCTCTCACAGTTACTAAGTAAAAATAAAACATAGAATTTGTCTAAGAACGACTACAGGTCCTTTCATTAATATACAAACGAAAGGTATATAAAATAAAATTATAATTTAATATGAAAAAACTTTAAAACTTAGAAAAGGGGCTTTCTACATTTTCCATCGTTTACTCGTAAACACAACAATACATCATTAATGACTTAAAATGTCTAACATCGTTAAATGACTATCTGACTAATCCTATCGCAACGATCTTAATAATCGGCTGCTGATCTTGAACGTAGACCTTGCTCTGCAACGAGAAGACTCCAGTTAATCAAGTGGATCCGTCGCATTTGTAAATTGAACGGCGTGTGAAGCGGATCACTGCGCGGCCGTGATTTTGCGCGGAGTGTATATAGTGTTGTTACTGTCATACGTTAGTTATCATTTGGTAGTGATGTCTAAAGACGGTCCCAGGTTAAGCAGGCTAGGGGTTTTGGCCCCGGCTGCGTTATCAGCATGCATGGACGCTTCGGTGCTGGCTGTGCCGGCTGCAGGCGCAATCGTCTCTACGGTCCTGAAGGAACTTAGCAAAGCTTTCATGCTTAAAAAGTAAGTATATCAGAGTAACTTTGAGCGATGTTATTCTGCTATTCTAGCAGAATTTGGTTAACAATTGTAAAATATTTAAGCTTGTAAGTGCCTTTGCGATGGCTTATATGTCTATTATTTGTTATTGTTGTGTTTTATATTTAACATTCAATTGTGTTTATGAAGATTTATTTGTTCCGTTTTTAGTTTTATGAGAGAGAAAAATTTATGAGCGTTTTTTTTAATATTGATAATTATATTAATTGTAAATAAAAAGGAGCAATTGTATTATAATATTTGAATTTTAGTTTCATTCTGTTGTAAGTTTGCTAGTAAATATTTTAAAACACACATATATTTATATTATATATATATATAATCGGAATCTCGGAAACGGCTGCAACGATTTTCATAAAATTTTGTGTGCAGGAAGTTTCGGGGGCAATAAATCGATCTAATTAGGATTTATTTTTAGAAAATGTCTTTTTGTCCGTGTTTTTAGGCAATGAAAATCTGCTACAATATCGTTAGAATAAGAAGGTAAATTTTGACAGTTTATTAATGATTACAAATAGCTTAATTGGTATATTGGGCGGTCACATAATCGTAATACCATGGTTCGAGCCCAGACCGACCGACCGATTTTTTTAATTTTTATTCAAGTTCCTTTCTTTTTTGAGAAAATCTATTTTTTCGAGCCCTTTTTTAGTATTTTTTAAAAACACGAAAATTTAAATTAAACTAATTGCACTCATGATTTTTTATTCAAATAACCAGTTCAGTTTTTTCTATTATGTCGCTACGATCAAAAAATATTATTCGTATTTCATTAGTATGTAATTTGTATCTAAATATAATTTCCAAAACACACGAATTAAAAAAAAAAACCGAGCGAAAAATACCGAGCAAAGCTCGGTCAACCGGGTACTATATATATAAACGATGAAGACATGATTTTCTTCGTATTTTCATAAATGTTTTAAAAAGTATATTTAATTCTGAGTAAAAAATGGCTTGTTCGCAAGATGAGTAGGGCTTGGGAAAACCCGTGTGGTGGAGCAGTTCCCAATCATTAAAACCACGAAGTTGAAATTACATGACTATTAGGTATACCGAATTACGGTACAACGAATTTAATGTCTGAAGCGTTGCGAGAAAATAATTGTGAATTTATTTACATAGGCACCTACTTGCTACTAATGAACATAATAGTAATATATAATGTTTAAATTATTATTAAGTTCATAAAGTTAAAGAAATGTACGAAATGATCACAATATAATTATGTTATGAATAAATGAGCACATCAAAAATAATGTATTTTTATAACTGTAAGCACACATAAATAGAGCAGAAAAATATGCAATAAGTTTTCATTTATATGGAATAAAATTAAGCACATTTTATTAATTAAAATAGTTTATACTTTTACCACTCGTTCGGAAAAGTCTTAATCCTGAGAAGAATCAGCCAGAGACACAACGGTACTTTTTTTGAAGTAACAATCATTTAAAATGCATAGTAACTATCTCCCAACTAGGTCTACAAGATCTTTTTCATTTTTTTATAGGATAAGGGTGACAAACGAGCACACAGTCCACCTGATGGTAAGTGATCGCTGTAGCCCATAGACAACTACATCTATCTTCGACTAAGAATCAAAATTCAGATCGGTTGTCACCCCTGAGGATTAAGATGGAATGCCTCGTTTCTACTAAAAAAGGGTCTCCGGATCTCTGCACTCACCATACGAAACACAGTATCGTAAATATGCTATTTTATGCTGCTTTTCTGTGGGAGCGTGGTTCTTCCCCGGCCGAAACGACCCATTCGTGTTACAACTATACTACTAATATAACTACAGGATGGCTCTACCACGTATATATTCATACAAACGATGGTGAAAGGGCACATAGTACATCTAATACGAGAGCTAAGAATGTTGTAGCCCATAGGCATCTACTTCTAATCATCGATTGAGATTCAAAAAGCAAGACCTTCGAAAACTGGAACGATATTCTTCGTAACTATTAAAATGATCATCATACATGATGTCGATTTGTCCCATCACAAACAATATACTCACTTTATGACTAACCTAACGACTGCCTCGTTGGTCTAGTGGTTGTAGTAGTGCTACTGCTGATCATGAGGTCCTGGGTTCGAATCCCGGGTCGAGCCAAAAAATTAATTATTGAGTTTTTCCCTTAAGAAATTCTTAGTAGTTGCCCAGAGTCAGGAAGTTGGCGGTGTCTCAACCCCGTGTCTCGGAAAGCATGTAAAGCCGTTGGTCCTGCGCCTGATCTCTCTCCGGTCGTGTCGGTTTATCGTCCCATCGGATTATGAGAGAATAGAGAGTGCACCTGTGCTTGCGCATACACTTTGGCACTGTGATCCTGTCCTGCGCCGATGGCTAGTCTCCGTTGAGACCGGCCGCCGTGGCCGAAATTAGATCTGGATGACATTATTATGTTATGACTACCGGAGGTACTAGTGCCGGGTAGCACGTAAACAATCATTGAACTACTATATCTATTAGAGTGAGTCTCTACCAAGAGTGTTGATAATTTCAATAGATATTACGTTCAGTTATATGAGTAAGAACAAAAAAATACCTATAGTGGACATTTATTCACATACATAACCGTGTATGTAGTGGCGGTTAAGAATATCCACTAGCCCCATATCGTCCCGTGGGTGTCGTAAGAGGCGACAGAGCGATAATGATGCAGGAGACGGGCAGCAGCATCTTGCTGGTAACAACGCAAAATAATAAAAACGCAAAATCTGCGGAATTCACAAGTCTGAATTATTTCACGCGCACGTTATAAATCGGCACGTAAAATTGCAATCATCAATTTCACTGCAGTCGACGAGGATCGAACCCGGGTTGCTCGATTACTGTGAAATTTAACTATGCCACGATTCTTTAGGCACAGGTCTCTTTCGATTTCAGATACAGCAATTTTATTAAAAAATATCTTATATATTTTGTTCTTTTGATTTATCTTATTTATTTATAAGCCAAGTCCTTCATGACAATCCCACCTGGTGGTTATTGTCAGTAAATTCAAGTAAATTCTTATATAAATAAGAAAAAAGATTAAAATGAAGCCTTAATTCCACTATTCACGTCGTAGTCATAGTAGCATATCACAGGATCTGAGTAATATGACGGGCGAAATATCTGTGCCAAATAAAACAGGATATTTATTGAGTTTGACTTGTAGGCTGTGTTTACACATGTGCCGTAATTTTACTTTTTAAGTTTAAACATGGATGTTATTCCATGAGTATAAATAGTTGCTAAACAAACTACAAATAACTACCACGAGCTCGCATCTAAATTACCGTATGTTGCAATACGGGCATTTAGTCCATTTCCTAAATAGTCGGATGTGGGCTGCAGGTGTCGAAAACGGCTGTAGCGTCGAGGCCATTGCTTACACGACAGCGAGGTTCCAAGACGATTCATTGATCATCCTCGTTGTCATTAGCGCATTTACTTATCGCTACCCGCAAGCAACGTTAATCAATTTGCACTAAGTTGTTAAAATGTAACATTATATTGTAAAATAACCGACTAGCACTGGCATGGTCACTCAACGAAATGTTTTATAATGTATAAATGAGTTATGTATTATAGAATGTGATTAATTATAATATTTATGAGGATAATAATTTAATGCAAAAATTCTATAAAAATTAATGATATTGTAACTTCATAATAACTTATTTTGGTTCGTTACTTTTTTTTAAATAATACAATAATGAGCTATTGGTTTTTATAAGGTGAATGGTTCAATATATCCACGTCTTCAGGATCGTAAGTGAGTACATTAGAAGGTAAATTCGCAAAAATTTTCGTAGTAAATAAACTCGAGAACAATAATTATAAATGACTCAATCCAAAGATTGCATATTCAATGCGTAATTGAAAAATAAACATTTGATAAAGTTTTAATAAAAATGGTTTTTAAATGGTTTCCATCCACACTATTACTCTTAAATTTATGTTTCCCTAAGATGTAAATATCCTGGTTACATCTATTACTGTCTCCATATTGTTATGAGAGTGGTTGGTATCTGATGCTACCATTCTCTTACGTATTCCTGTTGCCAAATAGTAATGCGTGCACTGCTGTTTTACGATCCGAAGGGTGTAGTGATCCATTACAGGCTACGTTAATCCGTAGAGGTGGTGCCCATGGACTACTTTACTCACTTACCATCAGCAAAAATACTTCATATACCAAATCATCTTAACTAATATTAAATTACGGTTACTACTAGTTTTAACTGTCGTGGAATCGAATCCGACATTAGAATCACCTCGGAAACTGCTTCTAGCACAAACATTTTCAGTTTAGTTACCATGTTCAAGGAGAATACTTTTGATATACTGTTACTAATGTTCTTTAAAAACAATAATAACTTTATCATTAAACAGAAATAGAAACTCTTTTATTCAATATAGATTTTAAATAATACTTATTGAAAGCACAGAATAAATAATAGTACTACACATGAAAGTCACTTTTTTTAAATTTTCCACTGGTTCAGAAGCTTACAATGTGTATGTTACAACTAACAACACAAAACAATATTAATTATAAATAGCTTAGTAACGATTACCTTTGCAAGGGGTTATTATCGTACATAAATTCCTTAATATTAAGTATAATAACTTTTGTGTACTTACATTACATTTTTATAAATGTATCGAGAGGCCAAAGTTAATTTATTAATTACCTTAAATTTTTGTCTGAGCAGCTCTTTAGGTTTTAAATCATAGATGGCTCTCTTGGGCCGCTTCTGTAAAACAAATATAATTTCAGTGTCAGTCGCGTGTCTCCATAGCAAAATACCATACGACACTTTGCTATGTTAATAGCTAAAATAAACTACTCTAGCTGTTTCAGAACCGGTAAGCATGTTACATAATAGAATAATACAATTTTAAATTACAAGTGCAAACCCAAGGGAACCAGCTTTCACAGCGAACTTTGTGACGAAATCCG